ACTTCTCTACAGCGAGTCATCCTGCGGTTGCTCGGGGTTAAGGGGTTCCTCACAGTATTCCCTCCATCGTCGAAGAATGTTATCATCCTTGGTAAGAGGGTGTCCAGACCTGTCTTTCAAGACTCTTCGACTGCCCTTCTTTTCACCGGCGAATTGCCTGCCAGAACACCTTGTTTATTGTATGGAAATTCGACCCCAGCACCTCATCGAATATGAATATGTTTTGCTTTCGGCACTCCTTTCGCTGCCCCCTTGCGTGCCTCGACATACCGCACGCGAGTAGAAGTCTTTTTGTTTCCAAGCCATTTCTTAAACGCAGCTTTCTTTTTTTTTACTGCCAGTTGTACGTCTCATGTCCACCTGGAAGTTCTTTTCTGACCTGCAGACGATAGGCCAACCGTTTAAATTTACAGCATTCAGGGGCAGTCTCAAGTATGCTGCTCTTAAATAGCTGCCACGTGGTTTCTTCATCGGTGATCATCATTTGGATCTGTTTAAACCGTCGTACGATGTTGTTTACAAATTTCGTTTTCATGTCCACATAAAATGGTGTTTCCCATTTGATTTTCTGGTTGCTTCTGCCACCGGATCTTCGTATAGTACTCCATTTCTTACAGCGCGGCATGCCAACAACATGGTGGTGATCGGTTCATAGCTCTGCGCCTCTCTTAACACGAACATCCATTACTGAGCGTCATAAAGTCGGACGATACGATTATCAAATCGATCATGGACTTCTGTGCACTACTTTCCCGGTACCAGGTGTACTGATGCACTCTTCGATGCTCGAAGATGTTCATAATGGACAGTCCATTGTTTATACAAATCCGCACCTGATGCACTTTTCGATGCTCGAAGAAGGTGTTCATAATAGACAATCCGTTGTTTGCACAAAACCGCAAATATTATTGAGGTCGCTAGGGCCGTTTTTCCCAATCACGCCGTTCCACTTTTCAACGTCTACTCCGACGTGTTTATTGAGTCGCTAGGGCCGTTTTTCCCAATCACGCCGTTCCACTTTTCAGCGTCTACTCCGACGTGCGCATTAAAATCACCCATCAATATGAGGGACTCTGTATTCGGCACTTCAGACAGAGCACTCTGCACCTCCTCAGGGAAGGTACCATATTCTCCCTCTAAATTGGGCGAATAAACCTGCATCAAGGTCAACGCTTTAACCTGTTGTAGCTTCAGTCAGAGGATTACCACCCTTACGTTGACAAGCTTTCAATCAGTGAGGTTGGGTTCTACCAGAACACCAACACAGGCCTGAGCGTGACTCGTGGTATCGACGCCTGAGTAGAATGGCTCCCACCCGCTGTGGTTCAGGAGTCCAGAGCCGTGGCGCTTCGTTGACGATAGCTCAGTAATTTCGAGTTGGTACTCATGGCCTCATCAGCTAACTCTTGTTTTTTCCCTCTGAGTGTGTATGTTCCAGTTTCCGATTTTAAGCTCCCACTGGTAGTGTCGTTTTCGTGGAGCCTTTTCTGACACGCTATATTGGCATCACGTTTTGTGGCTCTTCTGTTCAGAACGGGTAGCGACTACGGTGCTGACTTGCTATCTTCTTTGAAGTTCCGTCGGTCGTCTTTAGACGTTGTTGTGCTGCTACGGCCCCGGTTGGCAAAAGGCGATGAGCAGGCTGTGATCGCCTATGTTTCGCAGGCTTCCTCAGTCCCCCAACAGCCTGCGCGGCCCTTGATATCTCGTGCGTCGATCGAACCGGTATAATTTTCGATGAAGTCGATGCCGTGATCTTTTACGATGATTTCCCCACGTCTCCAGCCCTCCTCCTTTATCGACCGGGTATGGGATCGACAACTTCGTTGTTGACGCCGTAGTTCAGTGTTTATTAATGTAATGCAGGAAGTTGCTTTTTCTTCGTTTAGCACAAACGTTTATACAGCTTGCCGGAGGAAGCTGTGTTGGATCTTGCTTAATCTCCACACCGTTCTTCAAAACACCGTTTTATGAAGGAGGAATGTCTACTCCACAGCTGGAATTCACGGATGTTGTGTCGTCTCCTTGCTGCCTTTTGCGTAGCGGGGTGGGGCATTTAAACAGGTCACTGCTCCATGGTATTTGAGCACTTGCAGTGTTAGATACATCTTGCTTCATTTTGTCCGCTTGAGCCACCTGACGCTGACCACGAACAGTGTTTCTGGAGCTGGTGCTTCTTATATACTGTCGCATAAAGTTGTTTGTATGTCTGACTGTCGATAGCGCATGACTCTTCCAGTACCAGATTTCTTGCCTCATTTCCAGACTAGGTTCTTGTAGGAATAATTTGTTATTTGATGTAATTGGGCGTAGAAACAAGTTAGATTTTATGCGGTAATTTATAAATGTACCTAAATGCATATATCGCTCGATTTACTGATTCCATGTTTAAGATTTTTCATTAAATGAAGGATCAGTCTTCATTCGAATATTCTCGTCTTTTGTAACGATGGTGGAAAATTATAGCAATAAGTAACTCGTAGAAACTGCAAAGCCGGTTTGTTTGTGATCAGCCCTTCGGCTGTTCTTGTATTTTGTGCGATCATAATCATACGATCACCGTGAACCGTCTCTGGCATCCACGTAAACGCCGAAAGCAGCCAGCCTCACAGCTTGTCCGTCAGCGCCGTTAGGGAAGGCGTATACGTACAGCCTCCTGTACTCCTATCGAAACCAACCCTCTTTCTGTGCCCAACCTGTAGGTTCTGTTTTCTGTTAAATTCATATGCATATACTGGCTTATATCTTCGGCTTATTACCAAGATACTTCTTGTTCATTGCTCTTGGTATTGCCAAAGGCATTCATCGATCGACAACCGAACGTCCGTGCGGTTTCTGGGTGTTTCTAAGTAACGACCGAGCGATTATACTGACACTCAAATTCTGATTATACGTCACAAATTGAAATCGTTGGTGAATGCTTTATGATCAGGCGGCAGTAGCCAAAAGCCTTATGGCTTTATTTCGGAGTCGTGCACAAAACGATGGCCTAAACGTGAACCTCAGTTACGCTAGTTTTTATGCAATGTTGTACTTTCTACCCTGATCTCAGAGTGACTAGTAGAATTTTACTACGGAGCATCGCGATTGCGTACGATCGAAAATGATATCTTATTTGTGTCATATTTAGGAGACATTACTCTGTTTGGCGGTATGAAACGATAGCGATTTGGCGAACATCCGCTTCTGATCGTACGACAATGACCAGAGCTTTTGCTGTGAAATGTCTATGGTTGCTGTTTTGCATATCTGCGTCCTATGGTTTTTACGTGCCGGGGGTAGAACCTGTAGAATTCGGTGCCGGTAAAGTACTCGATATTAAGGTAATCGTTTAGGTGATTTACATTTACAAGGTTTTAAACGTTGGTATAAACTTTTAGTTGACTGCAGTTTCTGATTGATTAGAAAACTGTAACCAGACTTGACTATGAGCAGCAGTGTGAAACTGACACTGCGGCTACTGGTTTTGAGCCGGGTCTTAGTTTTTTCGTGGTATTACTGACTGCTTCTGTGAAGGTCAAAAACGTGCATATTTTGTGGTCACTGGTAAAATTGGGGTTACCTTTGGTGACATACTGTAGAAGAAATGCACATTTTACGGATTTATTGTATGCCATATTAGATATATTGCGATCATGAATACATGGATAAGACGTGTAAGCGCCTGAATGTTCGCTTAAAACTGAACTTGGCAGCTCTGTGCCTTAGAGATATAGAATATCTCAGAAGAACTTTCGTTTAACGCTTCCATAATTGATAGAAACAGACACTCGCTTCACTTCAGCGAAGGAAAAGCATTGGGTTAGGAATCCTAATTAAGGAAAGCAAAAGGAAGCTTCTAGCCGTTGGAATATCAGTCTTCCTTACGTTGACATCATTGGACCAATTGTATCACCCTTATTATCACTAAGTTAATGGTTGGGGCGCCAATCTTCATTTCCTTGCCATCATCTGGGACAGCAGCTATGCGACAATCATAGTATCCTATTTCATTCCCGCTCATTTACCAGAGTAGTACTCATTTATCAACCGCAGAAAAGAGGCGAGTGACCCCGACCCGGACTGGAACCCAGGGCCTTCAGGTTTTGATTCTGACGCTCTACCTACCGAGTAACCGCACCGCACTCTGAAGCAGCGTATGCAGAATTTCTTGCTAAAGGAAATTCATGATAATAAAAGTGTTGTCCGCCACGGCAGTCGAACGTGGCCCCTCTGAAATTCAATTGCGATGCCGACCTCTTACACACTGTGCCGCCACGCTACAATAATTAAGGAATTAGCTCCCATTCTTGCGCACAAGTACTGAGTACAATGAAAATCCCTCGTCATTTCATAGGAGTCAAAACTAGTATGTAGTTGATAGTTTTATCCGTTTGCTGAAAGATAAACTACATCTGATCGGAAACTGATCTGTATTTAAACGTGAAGAATACGCTTTTATCGTACCTTTTATAAATGTGCATTTTTCTGAGGAAGCCGTTGGTTATCAGCAGCAAAGCGCGTCGGTGGGCAGTAAAAAGTTTTTTACATAATATTTCTGATCCTGAGGCTGTTGTTGATTGCAGATAGTTTGCCAAATCATAATTGAAGGTACCAAACAAGGCAAATGTTGATATTTTATTCTGAACGCGTTTCACTGCGTATGTCGTGGCATGCGTTAGAGCACAATTAATATAACAGGCAGAAAACCTTCTTAAATATACGGTATACCTCGATTTAGAGTGAATAGTGGATTAACACCAAATCTTGACTGGTATATTCATAGCTTTATATTTAGAGTTAGTATCAGTCGTTCATTAAGTCGTTCGAAACTTTTTTATTACATCGGTGATATGCGCAAAGTAGACCTCAGAATTATGGGGTTGCCAGCAAATTGCTTGTTTTCGATAGCGCCCCAATTTTTACTTAATGCCGCAGGGCAATAACGAATGGTTCCTTCAAGACAAGATTTCAGGGCAGAAATATTCGTTGCATGTACAGTGTTTCATCGCTAAAATTTGTTAGGCCGCCTTGATCAAACTAAATCTTGACTTGTGTTTGTCAGCTGCAAACAGATTTGTCTGACTGATGGAGTATTCATCAGAAAGAACGTGTTGTGCAATACCAGAGTAATTAGTCTATCCGAGATGGACTACAGGTAAGTGCTCTTTAATCTGGAAATTCCATTTACAGTAGGTGTTGCCAACGTATATCGTCTCTTTGAACGAAACCATCCCCAAACTCATGCCGGTTTTTCGGTAGACCCATACCCGATGTTTCTGATGGATCTTCTGATTGGCTAAGATTCTTGGAATATAAGTTGCAAAATTACCGTACACCTGTTCTGACATTACTTCATCAAATTGCAGCGTAAGTGCCTATTTTCCCTGCTCATTGTCCTCTTTGAATACTCATTTTTTGCCCAGAAGTAAGTTTTTGACTTTGAACCACTTCTGCAGCAGTGTAGGCGGATAAGAGTCGTTGCACCGGATTGTACCACAACGTTGCACTGCCCCTTTGGTTCTTGTCGGCTAGGCACCACTTAAACAAGCTACAGTTCCATTTTATTTTAGCGCCTGTAGTGCATAAGAACACATACGCCGCGTAATGCTTACTTATATGAATGTGTCTGCAATCAGTCGATAAGAAGTCTTAATCTTAAAACAAGTCTTAATCTTTTGGTAATGGAGTCCCTACATATTTTAACAGTGAAACATCACATCCGCAATCAGTACGTAATCGTTGTGATAACTGAAGGCTGGAGTGCTGTCAGTAATGAAGAACTTGACAAATTTGGAACGGATGAGATTAAACTCTAAATTAAAAGTTACCACTGTGCTAGTTACCACTATGCTATTTAATATTATTATGCCACTCACTTTAAATCAAGTTATTTTTATATACAACGTGGCTTGCTGGTTGTATATCGCTTGTGCTTTGACGATGCTACAGCGTGCCTAACAAAAAGAGTTATCAAAACGGTGTTATAATTGCAGAAGATCTTTATTTTCTCTTTGTGTTTAACGTCATTGAGCGCCGTCCGTTAATCAGCAAATGCTAGATTCTTTAGCGTAACATGTATAAAAACTGGCAAAAGGTTTCAAAAATGTCTCTCACCTTGTTTGAAGAAACGGTCAAAAATTAATATGGGAAAACAAAGCAACTGTCGTCCAACGCCTGAAACAGATCTTAATAAATCAGGCCAACACTGTTTAATATTTGATAACACAGCACTACAAAACTAGTTCAGTTTCTCCATTAATGGGAAATCTGATTCGATGCTGGAGAGCCCCGGCATAGTAGGTCAAAGTTACGCGACCAAATTTCGAGTAGCGTTGGCACTCTCTGTCACAAGGGTCACAGTATGGAGAAAACAAATTTTGTGGGAAGCATTCGTGAGGCACGCTACATCTCCTTCCGTTAGAGGATAAGGAATAAAGTAATCAATTATTGTGAATGTGCGTTTGCTTGCTTCATTTTCCGGGATAACTGCGACGCATCTGATCGCAGCGTTTGCACTGCATGGGCTAGACGACTGAACTGTGCAAAACTAGTTTCCTGTACCTTTTTTTGTTCCTGTAGTTACATTCCTTGAACGTGTCTTGCTTGCAGGCGGTGAAATTGACGAGTACAAAAAATATCTTACCATACGAGTACTACTCGCTTCCGTTTTGCAAGCCTAAAGGAAAAATTCTTTACAAGCCTGAAAACCTAGGTACGTTTTGTGGCGTTTTCTAACGGTGATCTTATGTTGTATGCTTTTAGGTGAAATCATTCGTGGCGACAGAATTGTCAGTACTCCTTACAAGGTAAAACAACTTGCCTCCGTGTTATTATTCTTGTTATTGTTGTTTTGTTCGACTACTCAACTTTTCTACGGTTACATTGTGTAAAGACATTGTGAAAGAAGGTTTTCACTTCATCGTTCGCATCGTTTCTCTGCAGGAACGATAAAATCACCGAAATTATTAAATAACTATAAATATCCAACATCAGTTACGTCGTAGAAAATTCTGTAAGAAAAGGCAAAACTTATAGATGTTGTTTTCCATTCAGAATGATGCCAATATCAAGTACAGGTACCACACTTCTTCAGTTCTGGCCGTCCAAGTCTTGAAAGACATTATTTTCTGTCCAGTACCTGATATTTTGCGTGAAAATCGTACGGTGATTCCGTTTTTCTTGTTTGAAGGTGTCATTATTTCATGAAGTAAAGAATATGATTAATACGTCTTGACGATGCGTTCTTGAGTGTCGCTATGGACGGTGGCTTCCAAATCTTCCCACCGGGTTTGTAATCATAGTGCCCTTCTCGTACATATTAGTCTTAATAGCACCAAGAGCTCTGTCACTCCTGGTTACCTTGTCTGGTTAGCCCACCGTTTCCATATTCGTGAGGGGCTTTCTTTACCGTAGAAGGTCCGGAATATATCTCTAATGTATTTCGTTATATTATGCGATCTTCACATTTGGGACGTCTAGGATGAATTATAGCT